GTATGACGCGGCCGGGGATCGAAGCCCGGACCTTCCGCTCTCCGGGAGGACGCTCTACCACCAGACCACGGGGGCGGTCTAACTACATTTGGAAGTGTCAAGGAGTCTTATACAATGTATCGCTGGATTCTACGACAATTTCACCATCTTCTATACTAGGCCAAGAACATTAGACAAAAAATAACAACAACCTGGAAAAAATTATAGTAGAAAGCTGAAGTTTTCCAGAAACCTTCATAAACCTTCATACTGATGCCCCTTTCACAGAGTTCCCCAAGTTCCCCCTGGTGGCATTTTCAAAATGGCCGCCATAATTTTTGACAATTACATGTATATGAAATTCTGCAGTTTTACATTCATGATATCATGCAATATATCAAATAAAAGTACTTTTTATAAGCTTTTACACAATACTTGATGCAACATTGGGAAATAATTAGATTTTGGTTTAGATTCATTTAAAGAATTAAGTTATTATTTTTTTGCAGAATACCCGGTAATAGTCAGATTGGATAATGAGTAAAACAATATATGAAAGAAAAAAAGGTATTTCTGAATTTGCAATACTTTACTCAAACTGGTAAACAGAAGAAAACATCTTCTTATGTCAATACAAGGGTTTTTTAATACTTTCTTATATAATAGTAGGATAGCCAAGTACTATTAAAATCAATGACCTGGTGGAACCGGAAGGATATCAGGTCCCTGGGAAATATATCCAGTATCATTATAGTGTTCATGAGTTGCTGCAAGGTAGTTAACAATTGGAGCAGTATATATACAGATGCATGTCGAGAGCCAGTGAAACACTATGATGAATTATTTAGTAGAATCTGCACGTCATTGAAGTGAAGTAGAAGTTTAACCATTAACGTGATTCGTAGCTCGATAACAGGAGCATTTTTGTAACCACTTCATCCTGTGAAAGTGCACTCCAACCCTGCTTTGTTGCTGCCTTGCAGGCATAGAATGTCATCTTCAGGACTTTCAGAGGAGCAACAGGTCTGTCACTCTCAATGGGAACAAGCAGGGAAGAGGCAGTCCCTCTCTTTGGTGCCACCCCAACTCAGTGGGTGATAGTTCATTCCCTGCCATTGTTGTACAGCATTGGGTGCTCTATAACTATGGAATGTGGCAGCTACTGATGTTGGAGGCAGGGAATTCCAACTAGAATCCAGATGAAGATAAAGATGCTCAATGCATAGTTTTGAAGCACATGTTGTAGCGATGTTGACCAGTGTCTTTGACTCCTCAGCTCCATATAGCTTTAGAAGGAACATCTCTCCAACTTGTGCGATCTCATCGTAAGAACTATTAGGTCGCTGGAAGATCTGTTTATCTCTATATTGTAGCACTATTTTAAGTTGTCACAACCCAAACACCCCTATGCCCATTGATTGTCTCCCCCAAACAGATTATACGGGTCAGTGAATACACTGAGCCGTGGTGAGACCACCCATGCATGGTTGGACAACCCAGGCACAGCGAAGCTCTAAACGTTAGACGACCCGGGTTGTAACCAAACTGAACGATTGGGATTATCCCTTGGCCAGCTGCTGGACAAGTTGGAAGTCACAGTTTATGGTACCGAAACAGAATGTTAGAAGTAAGAAGATCCTTACAGACATTAATTGTTATTTTAATTATTCACAATGTCAAGATCAAGGTCGTTTCACACACTCAGCAATGTATGCAATGTTATTTTTGTAGGATTAACAGAAATAGCAACACTTTGAGACTGTCCGTTTCCTGACGTATAGCTGCCAAGCACCACACGTGTCACACTTAGACGTTGGCGATCTAAGCGATGGTGGGCATGAACAACACAAATGCGTCTGATGGCCCACGACTGTTTATTTAGACCATGTCACTAACGTCTTCAGTTAAACTTAACCTCCCAAGTCTATTGCCTGGTCACTTATTTACCATCAGCTTCTTCTGCTGAGTTGTCACTGTCTGACCCTAGTTCACGACCACTATTGCCGAAGCTGTGATTTCCAGCTGTAGAGAGCTTGACCAATGTCTCCTTTTGTTCATCCAGAACAGTTGACTAGGATGTATCGAGTGTTTGCCTGATGTAAACCTTGGTTCAAAAGTTAATATTGGTTCTCTGACCAATACATACCAGGATGTATCGAGTGTTCGACTGATGACACCCTTTGGTTCAAGAGTTAATATTGGTTCTCTGACCAATACCTACCAGGATGTATGGAGTGTTCGACTGATGTCACTCTTTGTTCAAGAGTTAATATTGGTTCTCTGACCAATACCTACCAGGATGTATGGAGTGTTTGTTTGATGTCACCCTTGGTTCAAGAGTTAATATTGGTTCTCTGACCAATACCTACCAGGATGTATGGAGTGTTTGTTTGATGTCACCCTTGGTTCAAGAATTAATATTGATTCTCTGAGCAATACATAGTGTGTAGACCCGGGACAAGTCATCGCTATTAATGTCTTGTGGTGACGTGTTGCCAACATACAGCTGTGCCACTGTCCCGCCTGCAGGTAGGATTTATGAGCATATGTTTCCCTTGGTCAGTGTATGACTTGTTGGGGGAGAAATCTGGCACAATTAGTGGGGGAGCAATCTAGCAAAACCCTGCCTCTAATACAAGTCCCCCAACATATCAGCCAATGAAAACCGAAATCCAATGCATTTGGATTCTGAATACGTGAATACGGAACGTTTGATTTCAGCACTTTCGCCTGGACATTTAAATACTTTCTACGAATATTATATTTCGTCCACGCCATAACCAGCAAGATCACACAAGCATGACGTACTGTGAATCTGTTCTGCCCCGCAATCTAAGGGCTTCCAACCTTCTTGGTACTAACATACACTAGATTCGTCTTTGCGAAGTGACTCTCATACGACTAGCTCCCTAGATCGCTTGTAAATTCGCGATATCAAGTTGACCCTAATTGTTGACTATCTGAAATTATACACGGCACGTCAAGCCTGGCTTTTCACCAATGTGGATTCAGAAAGGCTATATTTAATGAATTCAGCTGTATTCGAAACACATGCGCAGTAAGCTTATTTGTACACATATATGCACGGAGCTCATGACTGTGGTATCTATCACATACTTGCCTATTTATAGTTTATGTATACTGAACCGCAAAAGAAACGTCACCATGGATAGATATATGAGAAACCTTATTTGTCCAAACACTGTAAACATACTTTGAGACATATTAAACAGATGAAACTTGGCAAAACTGATCATCAAGGTTGAAATTTAAGTGTCAAATTTTCTTAAAGTGAAACACAACACCAGTCTCTGAGAAAATGGCATCACAAGTCAGTATCTCGCGTGTCGGCTATGTGCATTGATGACTGCCGTGCAACGTCGATACATGGAATGGATGAGGCGGTTGATGAAGGCCATAGGCACTTGAGCCCACACTCTGAGGAACGCCTGACGCAGTTCAGCTGCAGTTGTCGGCCTTGGTCAGACGTCATTCAGCCGTCTTTGAATCTCGTCCCACAGGTGCTCAATGGGATTTAAATTGGGACTGAGGGCAGGACACTGCATGGTTCTGATGCCATTCTGCTGGAGGAAGTCTCTTGTTGCTCTCGCAGTGAGTGCACGGGTGTTATCACGCTGAAACTCGTGGTTGCGGCGACGTGCCAAATGAGGTATGGCGTGTGGTCTCAAGACTTGATCAATGTACCGAGCTGCTGTGACACCACTGCCTCTCCCTGGACCGATGTTCTTGTAGACAACAGGGCCGGCCCTCTGTGCACGACCAATTCCACCCCACATCATGATGCTCGGACCACCCCACGAATCTCTCTCAACAACACAAGTATCCGAATAACGTTCCGCACGGCGTCGCCAGACTTTCTCTCTGCCGTCTGCTGTTGAGATACAGTAACGGCTCTCGTCTGAGAAGAGGACTCTTCTCCACTGCTGGTGGCGCCAATGCTGGTGCTGTGTTGCCCACTGAAGACAGTCCCGGCGATGACGTGGTGTCAGAATGGGTCCTCAGTTTCCGCAGCAGTAACAAAGCGATCTTGAAGAAGCTGTCGCACAATCTGACGATCCTGACGTCGGGTGGTGACCCTTGTTCTTCCACAACGTGCTCGGTCATCTGTAGTGTTGGTGGTTTGGTACCGCTGCTGGAGCCTGTATATGGTCCTTACGTGGACTTGAAATGCATAGACTACTTGCCGGGCGGTTTGTCCAGCTTGCAATCGTCCAAGTGCTTGGTGTCGCTGATTTCTTGTCAATCTTGGCATGTGGTAGCAATTCAATAACGAATGAATGTTATCCGATCTGGGTGGATTTTTATAGGGCAAGGAATGGGGGAACGCATGTTCATTTCAATTTGCACGGAACTCACGTGCATCGGGTTACCATGGCTGATGCCGTGATGCGTTTGGTCGATCGGATTTATTGTCATCTGCTTTGTTTTTTTATCATCAAATTTATTTTTTCCGGACAAGGTAATGTTAAATTTTTGAAACTTTGACAAAAAATACCCAGATATTTAAATGACAACTTTTCATGCAATGTTACTTGGGGTGACGTTTCTTTTGCGGTTCAGTATATTATCAAATTCATTCTAGTTCCGTGGTCTCCGTGGTCTATGAGTAGAGCGTTCGCCCGGAGATCCCCGGCCGCGTCATACCAAAAGACGTTAAAATATGGTACTTGTTGCTACCCTGCCCGGCTCGGAGTCAGTAAACTGGGACAGAGTTCTGTTTTTTTGTATCTCAGTGGGCTAGCACTATAAAATCGGCACCAGTCTGGACTTGTACAAGCAGCCACATAAACACATACACACACGTGTATGTCTTTCGCTATATAAGTGCAATAATCTTGAACGCGACGTTAAACACAATTTCACCTCAGTAGCACTGCATTTCCACTATGATCATGAATCATATGCAGCATATGTTTGTCACGTGCGCTGCAGTTTTGATGATGCGGCTTTAAACACAATGTCATTTAGATTTAATTCCATCAGTGAAATATAACACAGACTAACAATGCAATTTTTTATTTCTCTGACGATAAACATAGGACGTGACTTTCACCAACTGAGTTCCCACTGGAGGTCGACCTTAAGTGACGTAAATGTATGTACGTTATGTGTTGAAATAGTCCAACAAATGTCATGTTCAAATGATTCAGTCACTGTGGGATTGACCATTTTATATTCTGGGGCGGGGTTTGGATTTTATCGAAGAAAACATATTGTCCCCGATGATCCTTGAAAAAAATATATAATGCTTCAAACAGTTAAAAAAAATACACTACCTGCCACAAAAATTACATTGCTGGAAGGTATTTTTCTTATTAAAAAATCAGGCTCTCAGTTTTAAATTAAAACATATCTGGATTTGAAGCTGTAAAAATATCCAATCTCGATACAAAATTCCAGGCCACCCCCAGAATATCAAATGGTCGGTCCCTAACAAACAAGAAATGTAGATAATACGAGTAACCTAGTTGTGTTTTGGACCTTAACTTAGCATTGTTTGGGCGTCTGTTTTCTGCCTAGTAACGTTTTGATAACGTTTGAATGTTTTGGTCAAATCCATGTAATTGTCATACGAGTGTCTAATGTATAGAAGACACAATATGAGAATATACATATTCGATCTGAGGAATATACGCCAAAAACAATACTGTTGTGTTCATCAACCACCTTCCTCAACACGATGTAGTTAATGATGCAGCGTACCACAAACACAGTCGACGTGCATAGGTCATTCAAACGATGGACTGGACGGTTGTCACGAACACCACACACTAACAGTCACCCAAGCAGTCCACCCAGAACACTATCAGTTTGAAATATCCGAAATATACAACAACGGTGAATCGTTCAACTTCATGGCATCATTCAGCAATAATCCAACTTTATCACGACCGCCCTTTAAATAATCGAGTCTGGACCAGTGATTGATAGTATGAGCACGTCACCCACCGTCAGGGCACGATGGCACGGAATGAAATCACTGAACCTGAACACTCGGCACAGGACAGGTACAGGCTTACTCAGAATATTGTAACCCAGAATCCCCACTGGTACTAATATATGGTAGCTGACGTCCACGGCCAGCCTTTGGCTATATCGGACTGCGTAACAACCGAGATTCAATAAATACAGTGTCAACCCACGTTTCGTTACGCTTTAATTGAGTGAGCAATTTACGCCGCTTTTAGAAGTATCCCAGTCACATCACAGCAGGGACACCAAGAGTGGGTTCATGTGTACCCACATGGGAAATCGAACAGTGAACATTTTAGCCACCCAGCTATCCCACAGCCCCTTATACAGAACATATGTAATACAGTTCAAGGGCACCCTTACAGGGTATTTCCAGATACGTCAACCCTACATATAACAAAACTGCAAAGTTTAAAATAAGAATAACCGAAAAATGATGTTGAATATAATTGTTCGTGTGACATTTTGCTTTATCCCACTTCGTTATAACCGGATTTGACTATAACACCATTCGAGATAGCAGGGTAATGAACATGATGATGAACAGTAATATGTAGCACAGATTAGGAGACAGATGTGGGCGTGGCTCACGTCTCCGGCTCGGGGGTGAATGTCACCTTATTCTTGTTGTCTTCATTGTCAGGGATGAAGTCACTGCAAAGAACAGCACAGCAAGTCAGTGAGGGAGTGAAGGAGAAGTTTGATGCTGCATTGAGCAATATCCAGGTCATTTCATGATGGGGGGACACAAACAATAGGCTTTACACATTGTACCCATGGACGGATTCGAACCCACATCTTCCGCGTGACCAGCCAATCCTGTATCCACTATGCTATCCTGTCTGCGAACCCTATTTTGGTACTCACGTTTAGTCTAAATATAAGTACTACAATGAATCTATGAAATACATCCAAATATCATCAGGCACATTAAACGATTCATATTTGACATCAGTTAAGATTTTTATGTAGGCTAATGAATCGTCATATAATTATCTTTCGTGGGCGTACATGTTTCTTCAGTAGGGTTCAAGATTTGTGCATACGTCCCCAGTTTAGGCGCCTTGTGACCCAAGTTCAACTGAAGGTCAACATACCCAAAATATATCCTGCCCGACTGGTCTTTGGCCAGCTTGTGAACCGCTTCCTCAAGCTGCACCCGGTTGTAGGGCACGGCCAGCTCCTGGAAATATTGTATCGGGGGGAATAAAATACATGTGTCGTATGTTCTTGTGATACATATAACAGACAGATTAATCTATAGGACGCAAAGCTTTTATTAGATAAATGAAATGTGAGTGAGTTAGATGTAGCGCCGCTGAGAACAGTATTGAGGATACAAGTATATCGCGAGAGAGAGAGAGAGAGAGAGAGAGAGAGAGAGACTATAGCTCACATCAAGGGCAGCCACGAAGTCCTCAGGCGATACACTAAGACGTCCGTCGGGGTCGTATCTCTTGAGGATGTCGACCAGACGCATGTCGTTCACGACGATGTGTTCCTTGAGGATAATTACTGGCTCCTTCTTCTTGAAGGGGTCAATAGCTTTCTTCCCCAGATCCTCTAATGTATTTCCAGCACGCATAACTGGTCCGTGGGTGACCTTGAAAGTAGATTTCTTCTTCCGAATGTCTTCAAGGATGCGCAGAAATTCGTATTCTACCGGAACGTCCTGTACACAGAAAACTGCATGTTGAATAATATGTACCAATATATATTTACCAATAGAAGTTTATACTTAGAGTATCTAAGTTTAGAAATAATAAATCCACATTATTTCAAAGACAACTCAAACTTACAGACAGTGGAAACTCGTTAAAGGAGTCCAACATCACCAATGTTCGAGACAAGCGGTAAACTATACCTATATTTCACTGTAATATACATGTACTCGTACCGGTAAATGTTTTGAACGATAACTAGAGAAAATGGAGTTCGAGTTAAATATCAGGTCATAAACGAAAAACTCGACCGATTTATACCACTAATTGTTGCCAAGCTGCCGCCAGTGCTGTAAGATAGGTCAATGTAAGATAGGTCCATGTGAGATGGGTCCATGTAAGAAAGGTCCACGAAAGATAGATCCATGTAAGATGGGTCCATGTAAGAAAGGTCCATATCCAGTACTGACCGTCAGATCCAGTTCCTCTATTTCTGAACTCTCCGATTGGTTTATTGCCATGGCGATAGCTATTGCACCCGCTGATGTTATGAGGTTGTTGCCCATCTGAATAAAAGATAAAAAAAGATAAGAAAAAAATACAAAAAGTGAGGGAGATAGTTGCAACCCTTAGCATATATCCTGCCATATCTGGCCGGCCACACAACGAACTCCCCGGGTTAGAATAGGTCTTCAGCAACCCATGCTTGCAGTAACATTGACTATACTTGTCGTAAGAGGCGAAAAACGGGATCGGGTGGTCAGGCTCGCTAACTTGGTTGATGCACGTCATCGTTTCCCAATTGCGTAGAACGACGCTCATGATGTGAATCACTGGGTTGTCTGGTCCAAACTTGATTATTTACAGATTGTCGTGGTATAGTTGGAGTGCAACCGTAAACAGCAAACAAACAACCATACAAAGAACAGACTTAACACATTCTAGCCATGTGTGATCGACAAGGGAACGCTTGAACACGCACGAAAGGCTTCATCGTCCAGATAGTGTTTAAACCGTGTGGGCATGTTGAAGGTTACAATCGATTTGAGGCATTTGGGTCGTCGCCATTAGGTGTTCTCTGAGAATATACGACTACACTTAGACGTCAATATAGAAACAATATGTTTCCATTTTTTCTTCGGGGTTTTCAACAAAAAGCCTGTTTACTGGATACCATGTAAAATGTGTGTGAGGAATATAGTCTCCATCAAATATCTGTGTAAAATAAAACATGTTAATCAGTGTTCCAGCAGTTGTGCAAACACATGATAAATGCACGACACAAATTTGTTTTTAAATGAATAATAAAAGGTTGACTAATGGGAAATTAAAATGAAATCATCTATATCTCAGCACCCTGTAAATAATAGAATATGAAAAAAGGCAAACCGGTGACAGCGCAAACATAAGCCAAGCCACACATTGTCTCCACATAAACTTCTCACAACATGCAACACCTGCATCTCTTCGGGCTTTCCTCTCACATCAAGCATTCACGCCGTGATATAACTGAAATACTGTTTAAATCAATGTTAAACCCTACTCACGCACTCATTCACTCTTGCTGGGGACCTTTTCTACCCTGGTACCCACTTCAGATTTGTACCCGTTCACTCGGTACAATGTAACATGTTTATCGGGGTTTCGGTATAAGCAGTGGTGTGAGTAACATATGACTCGTTGATATCAAAGTACACCTTACTCTCAATATCTTCAGGACATCGTTAGTAGACAGGGCCTTGGCCACTTTGAGCGCCGTGTCCTGACCGAGTCGGTTGCCAGTCATGTCTATTTCCAGCAGAGATTCATGATTCCCCAAAGCCTCCGCCAGGGCGGCGCCACCTTCCGGTCCGAACCCGTTCCAGGCCAGACGACATACTTTCAGACGACAGTTTTCCTGCAAGTATCATTGTCAAAACAGACGTCATGCCTAGTTCTTGAGCTCTTTCCGAAAGCGTCAGCTGATTTAGTGAAAGAGTTACCGAGCCCTGTCAGACAGAGGTCATTACTTCAGGCGCAAGTTTTCCTTGAAGAAACATTGATTGAAACGGATATCATGCCCAGCTCTTAAACTTTGAGTGAATGACGAGCGAATGCTGTAATTATTTGACAACCCTGCCGACTCTTAACTCTTTCCGAAAGTGACTTAGCTGATTAAGTGAGACAGTTATTGAGCACTGCCAGACAGACGACATACCTTCAAACGATAGTTTTCCTTGAAAAAAACCATTGATCAAATCTATAGAATTAATGCCTCGTTCTTGATCTCCTTTGTAAGAATCAATTGATGTAATGAATATAACAACATATTGTTGAGACCCATCTGACCTTTATGCCCGCGGCAACAGCAATGGCTCCCTGTTGACGTAAATGATTCCAGCTAAGGTCAAGGACGTCTAAAGTGTCGTTTGCACCTGAAAGACCGAAAAACATTTACATATGGCCGACAAAGTCAAATAGCATGCATGTAAAAAAAACCATACTTTATGTATATTTCTCGTGACAGGTGAAAAATCGCCAACGACAAAACAGTCAACGTGTTATGTCAGAGTTGAAAGTTGTCTTCATTGAAGTGGTCACTTCAGCTCGTCTCAAATTTTCGTCTCTATTCTACGGTCGCTGTTATCACCTAAGAACAAACTGCACTGGGTAGCCCGAATATCGCAAAGAAGCACTACCAACTGCACACAAGAACGATGGCTAAATTATGAGATTCAACTGTTGTTGTTTTTTTACGAAATGTGCTATCTGCTATCTATCCACAGCCCACTTGTACAAAGTGATTGTTGTATTTTCTTAACTCAATACGACGTATAAATACAAATATATGTTTAAATGGACAGGCCCCACTTGTACAGCGAGATCAGAGCCCTTAAGTCTATGTTAACGACTCCTGTATTGGTTTTATTGGTTAGATAACCGTAGTACTAATGCTTCTTTGAGCCTGCGGATCAAATGGTTACGTTTAGTTGCAGACGTAACAACGCCTGTTCACGACATTCATTAGTACAGGTATCTAACAACACACGTCCACTTTGCCATACCTGTGTTGAACTTACACCTCCACCTACCTATAGCTGGTCCAAGAAGACGGCCTGAGGACTGGCCGAACTTGTTCCTACTCAGATCCAACTCGCGCAGATATTTGTTATTCTGAATAATAAAAATTCATTCATTACGCACATGAAAAAATCTTATTTCATTTATCATAACAAAATGTATCTACTCAAACATACATGTAAAAACGATTATCGATTTATGGTGAAAATGGTTTCTGGAAATGATCTGAGTTTGGACTCCGGGTAAGGGTATATCGCCAGTTACCCATGTGCTGAGAGCCGACAATATCAGAATCGGGTGGTTGTTGTCGGTGACCTGGTTGGTTCTGAGGTGAAATGGGGTTTAACGTTGTCCGAGATTATTACATTTATACCATACGGGAGTTTAACATGAATACCCCCTCAGACATAGTATACTGAGCCTAACCGACCAGTCCTTGTTTTAGCCCCTTTATGCCGAGCGCCAGACAGGGTAACAACAAGTACCATCTTTAAACGTCTTATGGCATGACACGAGCGGAGATGTAACCCCCGACCTTCCGCTCCCCGGGCGGACGCTCTACCACTAGACCACGGAGGCTGTCATGATGGTTGTGTGTCATCGTCACCGGTGCCCCACCACTGTTGTTTTACTGAACCAGACGTGACTACTGGCAGGTATTAGTGATCCCAAAAGATCTCGAGTAGCATGAGGCCTTTTCTATATTCATCATGGATGTGACGATTCGTCTTGGAGAATTTGCTTGTCCTGTCCGTGCTATGCAGCTCTAATTTAATGTATCCGAGGTGTTTTTTTCAAAACGGGCGAATAACAACGAGGTTAAGATAAACATTCATCAGTTTGGTACATACTTCTAAAACCTCCGCAAACTGTTCGGCCACTCTGTCTTCAAACATGTTGCCTGAATACGAAATGCAAAAAATAAACAAGATCAATGTCATATCTTTTCAATTACAAAAACACATTTTGAAGTTTAATACGGAGAATATGCTAATTTCATACCGAATTTAAATCTGGAAGACAATGATCAATGTAGCTCTGTTGCATGTCACGGATTCCAGGAACATAGCAACGCAACGTTTCTTTGAAGTTCCGACTTATACCATAAATTGTGATATTTGTTTAGACGTACACACAATTAGCGGTTAGCTTTGGGTTAAACGTACTAGACGACTGGTATAAGAGTCTGATATACTCATATATGATTATCGCTTTCCCTCATCGTTCCATGTACAGAGGATATGTGGGATTTCTTTCAAATATCACGTTTGTCTCATCGGGGGATATTTTCATGTGTGGCGAGAGTAACCCAACTAAGTTAGCCTATATTGTACAGTAGCCCAACTAAGCTAACCTATATTGTACAGTAACCCAACTAAGCTAACCAATTTGTACAGTAACCCGACTAAGTTAGCCTATATTGTACAGTAACCCGACTAAGCTAACCTATATTGTACAGAATCCCGACTAAGCTTGCCTATATTGTACAGTAACCCAACTAAACTATCCTATATTGTACAGTAACCCAACTAAGCTTGCCTATATTGTACAGTGACCCAACTAAACTACCCTATATTGTACAGTAACCCAACTAAGCTTGCCTATATTGTACAGAAACACAACTAAACTACCCTATATTGTACAGTAACCCAACTAAGCTTGCCTCTATTGTACAGTAATCCGACTAGGCTAGCCTATATTGTACAGAAACCCGACTAAGCTTGCCTCTATTGTACAGTAACCCGACTAAGCTAGCCTATATTGTACAGTAACCCGACTAAGCTTGCCTATATTGTACAGTCACCCGACTAAGTTAGCCTATATTGTACAGTAACCCGACTAAGCTAGTCTGTATTATACAGTAGCTCAACTAAGTTAACCTATATTGTACAGTAACCCGACTAAGCTAGCCTATATTGTACAGAAACCCGACTAAGCTTGCCTATATTGTACAGTAACCCGACTAAGATTGCCTATATTGTACAGTCACCCGACTAAGCTAGACTGTATTATACAGTAGCTCAACTAAGCTCACCTATATTGTACAGTAACCCGACTAAGCTAGCCTATATTGTACAGAAACCTGACTAAGCTAGCCTATATTGTACAGTAACCCGACTAAGCTTGCCTATATTGTACAGTAACCCAACTAAGCTAGCCTATATTGTACAGTAACCCGACTAAGCTTGCCTATATTGTACAGTAACCCGACTAAGCTAGACTGTATTATACAGTAGCTCAACTAAGCTCATCTATATTGTACAGTAACCCGACTAAGCTAGCCTATATTGTACAGTAACCCGACTAAGCTAGCCTATATTGTACAGTGACCCGACTAAGCTAGCCTATATTGTACAGTAACCCGACTAAGCTTGCCTCTATTTTACAGTAACCCGACTAAGCTAGCCTATATTGTACAGTAACCCGACTAAGCTAGCCTATATTGTACAGTAACCCAACTAAGCTAGACTGTATTATACAGTAGCTCAACTAAGCTCATCTATATTGTACAGTAACCCGACTAAGCTAGCCTATATTGTACAGTAACCCAACTAAGCTTGCCTATATTGTACAGTAACTCGACTAAGCTTGCCTATATTGTACAGTAACCCGACTAAGCTTGCCTCTATTTTACAGTAACCCGACTAAGCTAGCCTATATTGTACAGTAACCCGACTAAGCTTGCCTATATTGTACAGTAACCCGACTAAGCTTGCCTATATTGTACAGTAACTCGACTAAGCTTGCCTATATTGTACTGTAACCCGACTAAGCTTGCCTCTATTTTACAGTAACCCGACTAAGCTAGCCTATATTGTACAGTAACCCAACTCAGCTTGCCTATATTGTACAGTAACCCGACTAAGCTAGCCTATATTGTACAGTAACTCGACTAAGCTTGCCTATATTGTACAGTAACCCGACTAAGCTTGCCTCTATTTTACAGTAACCCGACTAAGCTTGCCTCTATTTTACAGTAACCCGACTAAGCTTGCCTCTATTTTACAGTAACCCGACTAAGCTAGCCTATATTGTACAGTAACCCAACTAAGCTTGCCTCTATTTTACAGTAACCCGACTAAGCTAGCCTATATTGTACAGTAACCCGACTAAGCTTGCCTCTATTTTACAGTAACCCGACTAAGCTTGCCTCTATTTTACAGTAACCCGACTAAGCTTGCCTCTATTTTACAGTAACCCGACTAAGCTAGCCTATATTGTACAGTAACCCGACTAAGCTTGCCTATATTTTACAGTAACCCGACTAAGCTTGCCTCTATTTTACAGTAACCCGACTAAGCTTGCCTCTATTTTACAGTAACCCGACTAAGCTAGCCTATATTGTACAGTAACCCGACTAAGCTAGCCTATATTGTACAGTAACCCGACTAAGCTAGCCTATATTGTACAGTAACCTTGCCTATATTGTACAGTAACCCGACTAAGCTAGCCTATATTGTACAGTAACCCAACTAAGCTAGCCTATATTGTACAGTAACTCGACTAAGCTAGCCTATATTGTACAGTAACCCGACTAAGCTAGCCTATATTGTACAGTAACCCGACTAAGCTTGCCTCTATTTTACAGTAACCCGACTAAGCTAGCCTATATTGTATAGTAACCCGACTAAGCTTGCCTCTATTTTACAGTAACCCGACTAAGCTAGCCTATATTGTACAGTAACCCGACTAAGCTAGCCTATATTGTACAGTAACCCGACTAAGCTAGCCTATATTGTACAGTAACCCGACTAAGCTAGCCTATATTGTACAGTAACCCGACTAAGCTAGCCTATATTGTACAGTAACCCGACTAAGCTTGCCTCTATTTTACAGTAACCCGACTAAGCTAGCCTATATTGTACAGTAACCCGACTAAGCTTGCCTCTATTTTACAGTAACCCGACTAAGCTAGCCTATATTGTACAGTAACCCGACTAAGCTAGCCTATATTGTACAGTAACCCGACTAAGCTAGCCTATATTGTACAGTAACCCGACTAAGCTAGCCTATATTGTACAGTAACCCGACTAAGCTTGCCTCTATTTTACAGTAACCCGACTAAGCTAGCCTATATTGTACAGTAACCCGACTAAGCTTGCCTCTATTTTACAGTTACCCGACTAAGCTAGCCTATATTTTACAGTAACCCGACTAAGCTAGCCTATATTTTACAGTAACCCGACTAAGCTAGCCTATATTGTACAGTAACCCGACTAAGCTAGCCTATATTGTACAGTAACCCGACTAAGCTAGCCTATATTGTAAAGTAACCTTGCCTATATTGTACAGTGACCCACCTGCCAGATCAATCCGTCGAAGCCCAGCGTTGATGCCCAACATCCGAGACACGTGGATGCCGCCTTCATTACCCAGCTTATTGTCAGCCATGGCCTACGACAGAAAAAACCATATACTCTAAATGGTGCTTCCAAAATGCAGTCATAGAACCAGCAAAAAGTTGTAGCATAGCATAGCATAGCATAGCCGGTGAGTTGACTTTTACGCTGCTTTTAACCCCATTCCAGAAATATCACGGCGTGGGGCACCAAGTATAGGCTTCACACATTATAACAAGGAATCGGAAAAGACATCTATGTGACGAGCGAACGCTTTAATCACTAGGCTACCCCATTGTCTAAAATTATCAGTTTCAAGCAGGTCGTATCCATTTTATTGATGATGATGGTTGTGTGGGTGATTTTACGGGCGCTTCTTGTTGAGCCGATTTCGCACTAATTGTTCATTATTTTATCTTATATAATAAAGCAGAGTTACGGCACTTAGTTGCCAGGATTCACAGACTGGGGCTTAAAATCCAAGATTGCCGTTCATGCCTTGTTTGTATTCAAATTGTTTTCGCCCAAGTGAATTCGTTGGTATATACGACTTCATATAACAGGTAGGGATCACAGTGTTATTTTATGCACCATCGTGAACAGCAGCAACACCATGGTCATCTTACCATCTCAGTAATGTAGTCGTTCTCCTCCAACATCCGGGACATGGCGTAACCCCCCGCGGCATCGATCCAGTTCCCAGACACGTCCAGTTTCTCTAGGTTGATGCTGTCCTGAAACGTGGCGGTTATTGTTATTGTTTGTTTTGTTTTTGTTGTTTAACGCCGCACTCGGCAATATTCCAGCTATATGGCGGCGGTCTGTAAATTATCGAGTCTGGAACAGATAGTCCAGTGAATGATATCATGAGCATCGATCCACGCAATTGCTCTAAGCGTTCACCAAAAGAGCCCGAAGCTCAAATATTTGTGTTTTACGTGTAAACATGTGAACGCTTGCCAATTTCCCTTGAGTAATAGAGGAATAAAAGAGTCTGAGAGTTGTCTATCTAGAGAGTGAAGAGTTGTGTTGTTTAATGTCAACTTGTGACTGCTCTCTAGGAAACAGTGATGCCTAGATACTAGTATACATGACATGCTCTCAACCCTGTACTTCAACAATAAGTGACTTTGTATTTCCACAACTGACACGCCTTTGGTATATTTATAGAGAGAAGTATTGTCGGTCACTGTTTATAGTCATTTTGTGTTCTCTGAAAAAAGACCCGAAATATTTTCATGACACATTTACTTCAGTTGGTTTTTTTGGTGCTTTTTTAGCGTAAACCTTGTGCAAAAGCTATTTGCCAGTATTTTCTTTCACAGGCCTTATTTAGTGTTGGTATATTTGATGTCAAACGGCACACAGGAGAGTTTCTATATTTGGTCACTCAACAACGTCAAAGAATTAGAGAAACTAAAAGCGTTACCTTCAGCACTAGGGCCATAGCCTTTGCCTCCTCGGGGCCCAGCCCGTGATACTTCATGGCGATGTCGCGGTCGTTGATGTGCCGCACAAAGTAGGAGATGGGTACGATGCCGAGCCGTTCACAGATTTTCACATACTCACACTTCACGGGGTCCCCTTCGTCCTCGGGGACTGACAACACAGACGGGGACATGGCAGGTTGAATGTGACAGAGGTACCTCATGAAATGACCATTCAGGTTGCGAGTTGATAAACATTTGGGTTGCATGTGAAACAAAACGTAAACTATTGCCTCGCTTATACAGCAGTGAATCTTACTAAAGGAAAGGTGTAGGGGTTGAATCATATGGATAATAGGGTTACACTACTGAACGTTGCACTTCCTTTGGAAAGCGAATTTCTACAAGAAAATCGTAAGAAGCTGATTTGAAGTATATGTTGTTTTCACTCAACAAGATACAGAGATATTATCTCTCTTTGTCGAAATTATGAATGATCTCACAATAGAAGTGGCGAACATTTGTCAGATATCAAGTTTTATACCGCAGAAGGACTATTAAAGTTTGAAGAACTTGCTACTCATGAATATGACAAGGGGCAAAAACACAATAAAAGCTGGGAAAACAGGAATATATTCAACTGAATAGGAAATATTGAAAAACGTATTTCAGTAAGTGCTTACTGTGTACATGTATACAGCTCAACGCCACACATCGTCATTAGAAACTTCTCCCACTCAACGGTATGTTACTTTAATGTAATATATACTTGCATGTGACTGTATGAACAAGTTTAACACACAAATAAATGGCTTTATGCATCTTAACTGATATTTTATTATTAAGATTAAGAACGCCTTACTTTGTTCCATCGCGTCCCCGAGCTCCGCGTCTTCAGTGGCCGTGCCACAGAGAAAGATGAGACTCGGCGTACAGGGCTAACGTGACAGTGTGGACACTCCAGTAGAGAAACACTTCAGTTTAGCGTGGATAGTTGATGCTATGATAGTACCATTAAATTGTTAATCGTTCCGGATAATTGCCACAATTTGCCCAATAAATAATCAATTTAGCGTGATAGGAGATTTAAGAGGGTGTGTTTATCCTACGTAAACTTGAGTGTTTTTGACTTGTAGTTATTCGAGTCGAGACCTAATCTTTGGTGTTTTTCTTGTGCAGTTATTCTTGCGGAGACCTAAACTTGAGTGTTTTTGACGTGCAGGTATTGAAGGTTACGTTCATCCAGAAGTTGTGACGGAAATGGAAAGGTCCCAAAACGCGTTGGGTAGCCAGACAATTAAAGGCATTGAAGTCATTGGTTTACCTTGAGCTTAGAAGGGTGTCTCTCCTTATGTGGAGTGCAATGGTTTTGTTGTGCTTATTTCGATGCATGTTAAAAATAACACGACTGAGAGAGAGAAAAAAAGAACTCGTGCCCGGTGGTTACAATTCTAAATGTAACGATTTTCAGATCTTTCAGTATTAGAACTTACAAATATCATTTGTCCACGAAAATGCCCCCCGCCTCTTACGACAAGCATAGTCGCCTTTTACGACAAGCATGGGTTGCTGAAGACCTATTCTACCCCTGATCTCCACAATGTGTCACTGTAGTGATACTGTCAGGGTTAAACTGTTTTGACTGCTGTAGGCGAGACTCACATTCTTCCTCGAGATCTGTATCAAAGTCCTCTTCTCGTGGTTCCACATCAACTGTTTCTATGGTAACTTGTTGAAAAACATCTCCTTCAAATTCCTCTTCTTCCTCTTCTCGGCTTCCTCCATCGTCCGATATTTTCAGTTCTTCTTCTTCTTCCTCCTCCTCTTCCCCTTCTTCCGTCGGCTGTTCTTCTTCGATCTCTGCGACCGGAAGTAGATCTCTTTCTCTCTCTTGTTCAGCTTCTTCCTCGGCTTGATCTTTCACTTCCGTTATCAGCACAGACTCATCCTCATCCTGTGGCTGCTCCAGCATAGACACGGGGGTGCGGCTGAGTGTTGCCCGTCTCCCCAGGGTGGGTATTCTACCCTGTGAGGTAGGCCGGGAACTGGGAGGGTTATCATCCTGTCCAGCAGTGGGTGGCTTCAAAGAGTCGGCTTCAAAGCTAGGTTCAGGCTGCAAGAAAAAAAGACCATGGATGAGAGACTAAACCTTCAAGCCGAATTAGTAAGGTTACACAGCAATTCAACGAAAGAATGGGTGAATACTGTTTTGCGGCACAGCCTACAGCTGCATCCCGACATCCATTATTTGCAATGTTCTAGTGGTTGATATCATGAACACCGATCCACGTCGTCGGAGTATGAGGTGAGGTGAGATGAAATGGGTTTAAAGTCGCGTACAAGATTAATGCATTTATAAAGCGATGTGCATGCACGTTCGCGTGTGTGGCTGCTTGTACTAGTCGGGACTAATGTCGATTTTATAGTGCTAGCCCACTGAGATACTATGCCGCAGTTTAACATGAATACCACACTCAGACAGAGTATACTGACTCCGAGCCGACCAGTCTTTGTTTTGACCCCTTATTTCGGAGAGCCATGCAGGGTAACAACAAGTAAAATCTTTTAATGGCTTTTGGTATGACGCGGCCGGGGATCGAACCCCCTACCTTCCGCTCTCCGGGCAGACGCTCTACCACTAGACCAAGAAGGCGTTCCGGAGTGTGATGACACACTATAAGGTCAAAACATTTTACTCGATCATGTCCTTATTTTTGACAGCTGTTGGGAAGCATGAGGTGTAGGGGACATATTTTGCCTCGGAATTACAATAAGGTCACAGGACTTCACAACATGTTCGCATGTCTAAAACGAAATATAGAAACAAAGAGAGTCTCGCGGAGTCCATTGCACATTTAGAGAGTCCTAGTGTGCGCACATTGATTTTTCCAGAAATCTGGTACTGTTTATGAGATTTTTAGGATTCGGCTGTAAATAACTTGTTCTTATGTCATAATGTTATGGAGCGCCTTTTGTGTATTGGGCATATTGCCTTCGTACAATCATTTATTAATGGATTACTTAATTGATTCACTCACCGCATTTACAATATGGGAGGCATTACTCTATTTATAGCATAATCGTCGTAGCATAAGTCAAAAACAGATGTAAAATGGTGTCGATAATTCTCTAATATTGAGAAGTATTAAACGAGTTACAAAATCGTGCTGTTACCCGGTGAATATTAACTCTCAAAGGTTACGGGACACCATCAAACCTTTCATAGCTTTTACACAGTATTACATGTAATGCTGTCAGGGTGGCCCAAGCGACAATGGCGCCGCAATTCTCTCAATATAACCGTGATATGATCGTGAATTTGAGAGGCGACTAAATGGATCGGGTGATCAAGCTCGCTGACATGGTTGATTGCATGTCATCGTATCCCAACAGCGTGGATCGATGCTCATGATGTCAATCACTAGATTCTTCTAAAATGAACACACCGCGATATACTAGAACTGCTGTTCATTTGTGTGTGGTTTGTTTGTTTGAGACGGATTTTAGTGTTTACCTATAGGGACAAGTCGCAACAGCAGCGGAACCACAATTTGTCGAATGACTTCAACATTCTTCAGCTATGACGTCATTCCCACCTCACGTCACAATAAGGTTCGAATCAACAATGCCGTCCGGATGACGGAAACAGTGAACCCCGATATGTTTGCCCTCGTAGGTAATGAAACACGTTACTGCATGCCCTTCTCCGCCAGTCATGTCAGTCTGACTGGATTTCCTCCAATAGGGACTGTTTGTTTGTTTATTTATTTGTTGTTTAACGCCGCACTCAGCAATATTCCAGCTATATGAAGGCGGTCTGTAAATAATCGTGTCTAGACCAGACAATCCAGTGATCAACATTATGAGTATCGATCCACGCCATTGGGATCGATGACATGCATCAACCAAGTCAGCGAGTCTGACCACCCGATCCCGTTAGTCGCCTCTTACGACAAGCATGGGTTGCTGAAGACCTATTCTACCCCGGATCTTCACGGGTCAGAACTACTGTTCATAGCTTAGATGATAATATACTCTAGACAAATCCTATGTTTATCTCACCGAGTGAACGAAAGTCGTTTTCACGGATGAAAATATTCAACCATCATCATTCACGAGATTAACATACACTGGTATCTGAAAGTTTGTTTGTTTGTTTGTTATTTAACGCCGCACTCAGCAATATTCCAGCTATATAACGGCGGTCTGCGAAAAACAATCGAGTCTGGACCAGACAATCAAGTGATTGACATCACGAGCATCAATCCATGCAATTGGGACACGATGACATGCATCTACCAAGTCAGCGAGCCTGACCACCCGATCCTGTGACCACCCGATCCTATTAGTCGCCTCTTACGCCAAGCTTCTAAAGTCGCCTTCTAAGGCAAGCATGGGTTGCTGAAGACCTATTATACCCCGGATCTTCACGGGTCGGTATCTGATAGTGTAAATACACTTTTTAACATATGTGACCAACCGTGAGATAAGGGACCTGACTGTTCAAAGTGATGACTGATGGGGATTATACAGAGGATGTTTTAATGTGTCTCGTGAAATATCATGATATTTCACGAGACACATGGAACATCCTATACATTATATACTTTTTATGTAGTTGTCTATCGGAAAATTACATTATTTCATTACAAATGTAAAACCTTGAAACGTAAATTCTCCCTACCTAACACGAAGGGACGATTCGCCACCCCTTGTATTTACGACTAAAAAAGTAGTTTCGTGTTTACAAGCTCTTAAAATATATAAACAAAAGTAAAATAAATATCTAGGGTCACGAAAATACTGTATCATACAAATTAATATGATCATATACAAAATCAACTTCAACAAAAAATATTCTTGAAAACTACGAGACCGCTGTTGGAAGCAAAAGAATACACGCTAACAAGTAACAAAAATGGCGCTTTGCGAAACGAACAGTCTCGATTGACGAGTTACTTGAGAAATGAACAGTTTATAACGACATATTTTCAAGAGAATAACAAACGGCATGAAGCGATATTAACTCCATAAATGAACATCTGTCATTAATTTGCCTTGTCAATGTGGAACTAACGTAAAAAGGTAATCAACAGTTTGTGCACGGATCTGACACTTGGGATAAAGGGATACAATTTGAGGGGAAGTAACTCTTGTATGACAATAGTTCCGTCAATGTGTTATGTTCACAGCAGTGACATATCAAGTGTTATGTTCACTGCAATGAAATCATCACTTTTCTCAACTTTAAGTATATAATAAATGACGTCATCCATTGTTTGACTATATCAGTGACGTCAGACGGGGATTACACCAAGCTATCACCACTGTGTACTTGTTATCCTACAACCAGAATAGAGAATAAATTTCAGTGTCAGGTACAGAATAAATAATTTGATTACATGTTATGACGTATTATGAATGCAGCTTGTACAATCCATATGACCAAAACCATGTCAACTAATATGATAAACGTCAGTAGATGTATCAACTGATAAAAAATTAACTATCACATAAACGATTGCGGTCACATAATCCTTACGTTACACAGATGAAATTAACCTTTATCTTATGCTGCCCATGTTATGTAATACGGTAATAGTGAGGAACAATATTGTTTATATCCCTCAAAGATAAGCAGATGTTGAGATATCTGTTCATGGAGGTCATGTAGATGTTGGCGACAGAAGAATGTGATATCATTATACGATAATTTCGATTCAGCCAACTGTATTAAGCCCCAAAACGCGCCTGCCAGTTCACCCAATCGAAGAGAGTTCTATTATTAACACTTTCATGCCAGCCAATCCTGCAATCACACAAATGACTCAATCAAAGCTTCATCGCGGCTTACTTACCGAGTGAGATGTAAATGATTCAAAGCTATATTTCGTGCAGGGAACAATTAATCCGACGCTCGTGAGCATACCGTGCTTTCACTCGCCAATATCGCCCTATTTATGTTTGTGTTCTTGCGGCATGCTTCAATGGGAATGGAAACTGAATATATCTTTTATCTTACCTTACTTGTTAACGTTTATTGCCGAATGCCGTTTTGATAAATTTCTATGTGCCCGGCATATTCCCGAGGCAAGGGAGTTAACTGATTATAAAATATTTCCACGTGGAAACTGGACTTTTACAGTCAGTTAACTCCCTTGTCTCGGGAAGATGTGTACGCCGCTATGCATCCGAAAAAAATATACCCGCCGTCATGGCAACAGACGTTTTGCCGATATCTGTAATCTCTGTATATCAAGTTCCTTGTAAATGCACCCCCACCGGATCTGCCCATGTACAGATGTAATAATGGATACAGTCATAATATCCAGAGACACCCCAGTCAAATTTTATACCATTACAATTATGTAATAATGATTTAAGTGATAGACCCCCAACTTCATTCAAGTGCAATGGGAATAAAACAAGTGATAATTTATTTTGTCTGACATGGACAATACATGGAAAACACTCGAGGTTACTCCCATTGCAGACACTCATGCTTTAACAACACGCAAACATTTATCGTCAATTCCCTGTGCTTGTAATTTGTCCCACAGACCAACACGCCGAACACTATCGAAAGCTTTCTTACAATCAATAAAACAACAACATTTTCTTCTTCCTGGATTTATAAATAATTCAGCGAAACAAAACAATTTAAAAGAGTCCGGTAATGTTACTGTGGCATTGCACCTAGCAGTGAGGTAGCACTATAAGCATTCTCACACATACGCACGCGCATGCACGTCGTTATATGAGTTCAATAATATTGAATGCGATGTTAAACGCCATTTTACCTCACCTCACTGTAATAATGCTCGTTGAAAAGAAATTGTTAAATCTTGTAATCACCACGAAACAAGTTGTGGTTCATAAGTCATGGGATTGGCCTCCTGTTTCTCAAGATCTAAGGTGAAAGCATTGTCAGATGAAAAGCTAAAATACAAACGATTGGTATATGCCAATAATCCTAGAAGCAATTTGTGTTTTGTTGTCGTTTTTACTTTAGTTGAAAGAAATAACCAAATGGTTTCATTATCGAAATGTAAATTCTTTCCACTTCTCCTTTTCCGATCGGCAATATAAATTACAATGTACAAATGTTGTGTA